TGTGTAGGGATCTTTTTAAAAAGTTTCTCTAGAGTAATATGGGGCTCATTATTAAGAAAGGATCAGTTAATTCATTTATATATACTTGTCAGAAGGGACCATTCCCTGGAGAAGGATATCATGCTTGGTAAAGTGGAGGGGCAGCAAAAAAGGGGGAGACCTTCAACAAGATGGATTGACACAGTGGCTGAAACAATGGACTCAAGTATAGCAAGGATTGTGAGGATGGCACATGACTGGGCAGTGTTTTGTTCTGTTGTACATAGAGTTGCTATGAATTGGAGCTGACTTGATGGCACCTAACAATAGCAAAGGTGGCTTAGGTTAGGTATTTTGGAAGACAACAGATAACTAACTTCTTCATTTCTAATTTTTTATTATTTTCTTGGTATGCAGTTCAGTCTTCTTTCTTCTCATTATTAAAAATTATTCTGTTTCCTTAAGCAAGACACATTTCACATAGTATCTCACTTATGGCTTATGTTTTTAGAAAGGTTTTGCTTTTAAGGTTCACATGCGCTTGTTAGAATATTTATTTTCATTAATTCCTGGGAATGTTAGATCTATTTAATCTATATAAGTGCTTATTTATCATTCAACTGATCAGAGTTCCTGTAAAGAATATTATAATCTAATTTAATAACATCATTCGGAGGCAGGAAATTATTATGTTTTCATAACCTCGTCTTTGCATACTTTATAGGTCCTTTGTTGTTGTTAGGTGCCATTGAGTCAATTCTCTGACTCATAGTGACCCTACATACAATAGAACAAAATACTGCTCAGCACGCACCATGCTTACAGTTGTTGCTATATTTAATCCCATTGTTGCGGCCACTGTGTCAATCCATCTCATTGATGGTCTTCCTGTTTCTCTATGACCCTCTACTTTACCAAGCATGATATCCTTCTCCAGGGACTGGCTCCTTCTGATAACCTGACCAAAGTATGTGGAACAGTCTCTCCATCCTTGCTTCTAAGGCGCATTCTGGCTGTACTTCTTCCAAGACAGATTTGTTCAGTCCATGGTGTATTTGCTATTCTTCCCCGGTTTAGTAATTCAAAGGCATTAATTCCTTGGTTTTCCTTATTCATTGTCCAGCTTTTGCATGCATATGAAGTAAGTGAAAATACCATGGCTTGGATCAGGCAGACATTAATCTCCAAAGTGAAATTTTTGCTCTTTAAAAGAACAAATTAGAGCAATTTATCTTTTTAGACTGTTGTGCTATTACTCAGAATAAACAATCCATTTGTAGTATAAGTGCACTTTTCAAATAGACTAATGTATATCAAATTTTCTTTCAATGTAGCTACTGAATTAATATTTTTTCATTTTAGCCCAATTCATAAATTAGACACATGTAGAAGGTTTTATTTCCTAAGACTTAAAAGACTGCCTTATTAATAATAATAATTAAAAAAGAAAAACCCCTAGCAACCACTTGTATTGTCAGAAACTCAGATACGAAAGGGAAAGGGAAAACCACAACGTTTCATTTTTCTGTGAGGTCAGTTCAAAAATCTAGGCATTACACAAGACAAATATAGGGGAACCCAGTTTCTTAAAATGTGTACAGTAATTTTATGGTAAAATGGACTCAATTAACAACAAAAAAATCCTAGATAAATTCAATAAGTTGTCAGATGAAGGAATATCAAAACTTCTGACAAAATTTGAGTATCAAACAAAAGTTCCCTCGAGAAAAGATGACACAAATAGGGACTCATTTTCCCAAACTGATTACTGAAGTTCTAAATTACTTCAAATATGTTTTGCTTTTTGTATTTTTGAACATGATCCCTAAACCAGCATCCCAGTAGGGGGACAATCTAGGCTTACTTATTAAGGTTGAAACTTACTAGGTTGAAACTTTTGATGTCATTTTCCCTGAATCTAATTCATTTTGCCAGCTAGAGACCAAGTCTTTTATTTCAGATCTTAAATATACTAAACAAACAACAAACAACAAACCAACAAACCAAAAAACCAAACTCACTGCCATTGAGTCGGATCTGACTCATAGCAACCCCTCCTTGAGTTTCTGAGGTGGTAACACTATGGAAGTAGATTGCCCAGTCTTCATTCTGGGGAGTGGCTAGTGGGTTTGAACTGCCAGCCTTCTGGTTAGCAGTCAAATGCCTTAGGCACTACACCACTAGTGATGTCTTTTAAAGGCTTTAATATACTTATTGAAAGGGCCACCCATTAAATTTGTCTGATTTGGGACTTTATTTTCCAGTTTACTGCATAGGAAGGTCAACTTAGAAAGAAGATAAAAGATCCTCAAATTGGCCACTGATACCCCAGACTGTCCCTTATAAGGAAGTGCCAAGCAGACAGAAAGGCACAGGTCATAGGACCAAAATGTTTACACATATGATGGGCAGAGGTCCCAGAGGGAGGTTTGTACTGCCCATGGAACTGGCATTCCTCATGTCACAGAGAAGCCTCGATGCCACTAGGATTTTCTCAAGAACTGTCACAGGGAAATTAGGTTTCTCAACACCTGGACAGTTCTTCTTGGAATGTCCCAGTAGAGGGTGCTTAAAGATCGTAAGCTCGAATCTCACAAGAGAATCACAAACAAATATCACACACTTGCAAGAATTACTCTCATGCACATTTGCAAGAATTACACTAAAACCATTTTGCAAAGGAAAGAAAGACATAACAACAGGTCCTACAATAAACTCTGAGAACTTCAGTGCGAGGATGCGGAGATTTGAATCCTGAGGGCTCGCTCACCTTGTGGTGGCTTCTGAGAGTTCATGGAAACAGATGAGATCCAAGAGGCTTGTGCTTGCTCCTGGAAACGTCAGGCTGCTGCAGGGAAGTTTCCTTCGGATCCTACTTTCTGACTCCAAAATGTAGTAGAGTAGAAGAACACCAATACTCTGTTCAAGACGAAACTTAGAAGTTTATTGTGGGAGTAAAAGTACAGTTTAACCTGGGGAGGCCCAGAGTGAAAGCAGTCTCATTTAATGCTCCAAAGAGCAGTTTCACCTACAGAAGTTGATAAAGGCAAAAACAGCAAGTAGAGAGAGGTACAGCTAAAATGTTTTTGACTGGTTGACATTTACAGGGTTGCTTGCAAGACTTAAGTGGAATTAGATTTCCCTGAGGTTTAGGGAGAAAAATTTCTAATTGGCAGATTTATAAGGCACTTAGGAGCTCTGGTGGCGTAGTGCCTAAGGCACTTGACTGCTAATCAGAAGGCTGGCGGTTCAAACCCACCAGCTACTCCTCGGACGTAGCTACTCCTCGGAAGGCTACCACCTCAAAGACCCAAGGAGTGGTCGCTATGAGTTGAGTCTGACTCGACAGCACATAACAACAACAACAACAATATATCAAGTTGTTTACAAATAATTATCATTAGTAACTGGGGATAAAAGGTGAAGGAAAATTATAGCAGCAGGATATTGGCTGACCCTAGGTTTCCTGGAACATTAAAAAAAAATCTTTTTGGCATATCTTAACAACTGTAGGCACGTGGTCACTCTGTAACGCAGTTTAAACACACACAGGCAGGTTTTCTGAGACCACTGAAGCAGGGGCAGTTTCTGAGAACTAGGTTAAGGGAACAAAATGGGGTCAAACCTACATTTTAGCTTCTAAGTTACAAAATGGGGTTAGGCCTATACTTCAGCCAGAAGCCTCAGCTATGTCAAGTGCCTTAGATTTTAGAAAGCTCTTTGTCAGGACAAACTTGGAAGCTCAAGGCTTGAAGGACAGGACTGAGGTTTGGGTTGCAGGCTGTGAATTTGGTTCATTCATTCAGTCAACTGTCCTATCGTTCATTCTCCAAGCATTTTAGGAAGGCCCACTTTGCCCAGGGCTTGTGCGGGACACTGAGGAAAATATGTAAGAGATTCTCCCTTGAGTCCTGGAGGAAGAAATTCTTTCAGGGTGGGGTGGGATCCTGTACTCTTGCAGGTTGGGATATGACTGTCAGGGAGACTTGGTGAGCCACAAGCTTGGAGAATGAGCAAAGTGGGGGAGGGGCTGCAGGAGAGGAAGGGGGAGGCTGGAGAGTGTGGGGGTAGGGGCTGGGGGAGAACAAC